TCCTTTACCTTTCACAGGTTATTTTTGAGCTTCTTGCCTACAAATGTACTCGTCTTATCATGCTAAAAGCGTGAACTCGTCTTCCTTTACCAAAAAACTTCCGCAGAAAATAAATGGTGTCTGCTAGGTTTCTCCAATGTAAAGTTACTGTTTTCCCTTTTGGAATTAATAAGTAATTTGTGGGGCGGTGCTTTGTGACCGTGTGTGTATCCTCTTCAAACGTTCATCCTCTAGTTTTAGCATTCACTGATGATTTTCTGAATCCATCATTTACTTATTTGTTTGTATCAATTTAGGCTCATTTTCATTTCATTCAGTAGGTTTTAATCCTTCAGTGTCATTATTTATTTGATGCTGAAATGCCCACATTTGGCCACAGTGAGAGCTCCTTCATGCAGGTTCATGGGTCCTTTTGACATGTTTTCATTATTCCTTGAGCAGTTGTTGACTCTCTGACTTAAGAGGTTTCAGGCTCCTCTTGTCCTTTCCTGTCCCATCGCCGGTGTCACCTACTTCTTTAAAGACCTGCGCTGATTTAATGTGTTAAAGAGGTATTCTGGAGTTCATACACACACACGCATACGCTCTAAATAGAGCAAATGATGTTTCCACTTTCTTTACTGTTCCAGATAACTAAGTGAGCGTCTTCAGAGCTGTCAGATAACTGCACCCTGGTGGAGGCAGCGCCTTCCTGGGGGTAGATGCTTCTTCCTCTTGCAGTCCTGCCCAACTGTAGGAATTTCTACTTATGAAGGAACATGCTTAGACCTATTAAGTATTAAAATACCATCTGTGTTATGGCTGAATTTATGAATTTGTTCCCTTCCTCCTAGTTAAGGAAGTTTTAATGGTATATTTTAATCATTTTTTTTTCAAACTACAGTGACATTGATGAAGGGTTTTATTTCTGATGAGGTGATTAGCTCGTAGTAGTTGACCTTAACTTGGTTCCTAGTGTAAATCTAAAATTTTCCTTAAAATGCAAATTAAAAAGCTTATGAAGTGAATATGTGTCTGTTGTAGAGACTTTAAACAAAACAAAAGATGTAATACTGTGCAGGACTTTGGAGAGTCCTTGTTTGTCCTAACCCATGTGCATTTTGGACTGTGTCTAGTTGTAAGTGTTGTCCAAACGTTTTTGGTTTTGCTGTCTAACAACTCTGTGGATTCAGACACATTTAAAAACTATGCCTTCACTGCTGCCATTCCTGGGTTTCCATGTTGTTAATTGTTAATGTGTATTTAATGAAGTTGATTTCATTTTTTTTCCTTTACAGACTATCTCTACAGAGAAAAAGAAATTGGGGTATAGACTACCCATCCTTTCCAGGAGAGACTCCACTACAGTACAGAAGAGTGGGTCTCAGGACCGTAGGGGAAGCTGCTTCCCTCTCTGAAGCATGGCTCAGGTGTGGAGAAGGATTTCAGGAGACTGCTGGGACTCCGGTAAGATAGCTGTAATACTGTTTGCCCTGAATGCTGAAGGATAATCCTAGTTACTGTGTGTTCAGGCCACTGTAATATATTTCTTTGGTATTCCCTTCTTTATTTCCTTTCAGAACACTGTAGTTGGTGGATTACTTTTTTTCACTCATCCTTGAATTCCTTAAAAATTGTGGCATATTAGTATCCACCCCTTTCTGTCATGCAGAGCCTCTATACTTCTTTGTAAGTAGAGGATACATACTGAAAATGTTCTCAGAGATGAAGCGGTTGAGCATTTACTCTATAAAAAGTACATTTATGAAATGCTAATATATTCAGAATCTTTTGGCATTGAGATATTCAGGTTAATTTTTGTTTATGTGGTAACTTTGAAGTATTCACCATAAAGAGGAGTACTCACCACTATTAGAAACTTTAAAGGTGGGGTTGCTCTCTCTCTATTTAGATTGAGGAAAAATGTAAAAATACATTTATTAGGTATATGAGGAGTATGTGCTTTGGGAATACTTTTTGGTAAATATAAATAAAGGAAAACAGAAATATGTTAAGGTGATATAATCGAAGTTCTTGAATATTTTACATCATATTGTTGGGTTTTGGCCCCTGTCCCCCAAATTACTACATCATTATTAGTTATTATTGTTGTTATCATTATCTGCCTGCTGTCATTAACAGCTGAAAAGAAGACTACTGCAGAAAAACACCTTGAGTTATCCTCTAGACCCAAGAAAGGTAATATATTCATGGTTTAAAAAATACCCAAACAATGTAAAAAGATACTTTTTTTGAAAAATCTCTCCCTCACCTTTGTCATCATCTACCCCATTTTTCCTGCCTCCTCTAGGTAATTATTAACAAATTTTATGTGTCCTTTCTGGGGTCACTGTTATCAACAGAGCCCAGTAGGTAAGTTCAAGCTCATAGCTCCAGGGTTTTTAAAAAAATCTGATTTGGGAAATGTAGTTATGACCTGTGGTATAAGGACTATACTGCTAGTTAATGAAATTCTTATTTGGCGAATTAGTTGGGAAAAGCTTTCAGCTACAAATGCTAGGAAACCCTATTGAGGTGTTTGAAGAAATGGGGTTGAATTTATCTCCTGCAGCAAGAAGTCCAGGGACCCAGACTTGTTCTGAGTTCTGCAGTCCGAATGTGGGGTTTGTTTTTGTGGTTGTTAGGTGGAAGCTGGATTCTCCAGACCCAGTTCTCAGGAAGAGTTAGGGTTGGAGGATTTTCTCCAAATGAACTTTTCTTCTGGGAATAAGTACTCTCCCCAGGACGTCTACCTTTGGTCAGAATCTGTTACATAGGGTCACCTCCACTAAACAGATATCAGAAATCAAGGATTTTTAAACATGTATGTTGCTGATCAAATAAAATTAGGATTTTGTTGATGAGGAAGACGAGAAGAGGTGGGTATCAAGGAGGCTGCTGGTTCTGCTGCCACACTCAGTTACCCTGTGGGAGGGGCTGGAGAAGTCAGGGCCTGAGACTTCAGAGATCTCATCTGACCCCACGGTGTTCTGACTGTGTCCTCCTGCCTGTGGGGTCTTGAGAAAGCAAGCTAAGCACGCTGAGCCTCAGTTTCTGCACTGGAAATAGGCATAAGAATTGTGTGTCTTGTTGGGTTATTGTGAGCTTTTAAAAAATTAATAAAAGTGCTTAGTTCAAAGGTTTACACTTAGTAGGTGCTTAATGGTACCAGTTACTGTTATGTTTGATGGCAAAAAGCTGTATGAGAGCCTACTCAGAGTCCAGGAGAGTGAGAAAACTTTCTGTGGATAAGACACTAAACATTTCTTTATGCTATATTATTATTTCCCTAACATTTAAGTGGGTTCTTTTTATGTGAATGAAAAATAAAATTCCCCTATTTTTTTAAATTCATGAAACACTGTATTAAATAAACTGGCACATGGTGTTTGTAATATCATAGTCTTCTAATGGTACTGCAGAATTTATTTATTATTATTAGTGCCAAATGCTGTGATTTGCAAAGATCAATTTAATTCTGGTTTCCTAATTCACTATATAATGTGTGGAGAAAATAGTACAGTTGACCTTTGAACAGTGTGGGGGGCTAGAGATGCTGGCCCTCTATGCAGTATAAAATCTGCCTATAATAAGCTTTACAAGTCAGCCCTCTGCACCCATGGATTCACCTACTGCAGACTGTGCAGTAGTAGTACCTATTTTTGAAAAAAATCCACGTGTAGGTGAACCCACACAGCTCAGACTTGTGTTGTTCAAGGGTAAACTAACTGTATTTTCCTTTACAGACATAGCTTATATCTTTTCCTGGAGATTTAAAGTTGGTATAGTCAAGTTCAACTTGGAGAGAGAAAGAAATATTAAATAAGCTGCTACCTTGTATTTATTATTTGATTGATTGATTGATTGTCCTGGGATTTGAATCCAGGACCTTGTGAATGCCAAGCGTGTGCTCTACTACTGAGCCATACCCGCATCCCCTGCTACCTTGTATTTAATTTCAAGAGGATTTGGGGGGATCATTTCCCCATCCCAATATATAGTCAACCCATTCTTCTGTACTTTCTGTTCTGTAAAATGATCAATATATGCTGATAGGCTGTAAGAGCTTATGTCCATGTATAATTTATTTACAGCATAAGTAGCTTGTTAAGGCAAGAAAGAATGGTTAATAATTTAACGAAAGCTTACAAATAGACGTTGATAGAAAAGGGGCCCGAAGGCACGTCCTGTAACTGGCTCCTTTGTAAAATCTCAACGTCTTAAGTTTTAGTTCAGGGCAGGCTATTAAATTTTTAGGACTTGGAAGTAATATTTTTTTGACAGCTGGGAATCAGAAGTAGGGAAACATACTTCTGCAGAGTGTGTGAAAAGGGGGGAGACTCCATTTCCTTGCCTCTATGTCTCTGTTTCCTTACCTGTAAGGCACTGAAGAACAGAGGAGAAAGGGGAAGGAAATGGAGGAAGTGGGAAGGGGTGAGAGAAGTGAGCAAATGCATGTTCCTCAGAAGGTGCAAGGGACAAGGAAGAAGGTAAAAACCTGAGAAGAGGCTGGAACCTTTGTAGATAGTGATTTTCTTTAAAAGGTGGAACTTTTAAAAAATGTATCAAAATGAAACTATGTAATGAAAAGGAAATAGTGTTTAATATTTTTCTTAAAATTCCCTGCAAAATATGTTCTCAAAATCTTTGTTATTGAGGTCAGAAATCTGCTTGAGAGGCATTAGTAAATTTCTAAATTATTATTTGTTGGCATGTTTTTCTCCCCATTCGAACGTAGGCTTCTTAAGGGCAGACTCTCTTCTGTTGCTCTTCTTTGTATCCTGGGTGGCTAAGGCCAGGCTGTGGCTAGGGCTGCCATGATACCGTGCTACAGACTGGGTGGTTGGACCAACAGAAACTTACAGCCTCACAGTTCTGGATGCTGGAAGTCCAAAGGGAAGGTACTGGCAAAGTTGGCTCCTAGGATGTGCTTCAGGCTTCTTTCCTTGACTTGCAGGTTGCTGTCTTCTCTGCATGTGTCTTTTCATTGTCTTCCCTCTGCATGTCTGGTTCTGTGTCCAGATTTCTTCTCTTGTAAGAATATCTGTCATTTTGGATTAGGGCCCACCCTAATTATCTCAGTTTAATTGAGTTACTTCTGTAAAAACCCTAGCTCCAAATAAGATTACATTCTGAGATGCTAGTGGTTAGAACTTTAACATATGAATGAATTTTGGGGGGGACACAATTCAAACTGTAACAACAGATGCCAGCACAATGCCTGGCACACATTGGGCACCCAGAAATGTTTGTAAATGCAAACTGTTCTCACAGTCTGGCTGATGTCCTTCCTGGAATTTCATTGGAATGGGCCTTGATTTCAAGGGTACCTCTTTTCAGCAAATAAAATGGGTTACTAAGTGATAAATTCCTGGTAAAGGTTTTATCTGTATAAACTATATAGTTAAGTGCCTGTAATTTACGGGTTTATGAATCCATTATACAACCTGAAAATAGTGATAATTGTACTCCTGTCCTAGTCTGTTCAGGCTGCTGTAACAAAAATACCATAGACTGGGTGGCTTGTAAACAGAAATTTATTTCTCACAGTTCTGGAGGTTGGAAGTCCATACACTTATTTGGTGTCTGGCGAGGACTTCTGGTTCATAGAACCTTCCTGCTGCATCCTCACATGATGGAAGGGGCCAGGGATCTCTCTGGGGCATCTTCTACAGGGCACTGGTTCCATTCATGAGAGCTCCACCCGCATAGCCTGATTGCCTCCTAAAGACCCACCGCTTAGCACCATCACATTGGGGATTAGGCTTCAATATGTGAGTTTTAGAGGAACACAGATACTCTGTAGCATTCCATTTCTTTCATTCTGATTTACTTTTCTAGATGCATAATAATGAAAAAAGATCAAAAAAAAATAATGAAAAAAGATCGGTAATGGTTTTTGCAAGTAAGTACACACCTTAGTTTTATTAGCTCTTTAAATCAATATGGGTTCTTAGGTTATTCTGAATGGTTTATATTTAATTTTATATTTTGAAGGATAGACAACTTTAGCAACACTAGATGTTAGGGCACGAAGTGTTTAGTAAATGTTTACTGTTATTTCATGTTTTTGTGCATGTTGATTCTCCAGACATTTTGTCAGTGAGTCTTTCTTTCCTGATCAATACAAAGTGGAGCATCTGTTTGTGTCTGTGTGTGTGTGAGTGTGTGTGTGTGCCATCAGTATACCATGACATACTTCTAATCTAGTGTTTAATTTTTCTTTTCATTATTAATTAATGTTGCCTTTCAGAGCATGCATTCCTTGAAAGCAGGAGTTTTCTTTTTGTTGTTGTTTGTTTCCTCAGGGTTTACTATATCAGAGGTGTTATATTAATATGTATTTAATGAAGCCATATAACTTCTTTTTTAATTTTATTTATTTTTAAATTTTGGGGGGTAATTAAGTTATTTATTTATTTATTTGTTTTTTAATGGAGGTACTGCTGATTTAACCCAGGACCTTGTGCATGCTAGGCATGAACTCTACCCCTGAGCTACACCCATTCCCCGCCATTTAACTTCTGAGCCTGTTTCCTCTACTGGAAAACTTGAGTTGTAATGTCTAATCTCTTAATCTGTTAGTATATTGAAATGTAGCTAAGAGAGCTTTTTTGGGTTTTAGCATTGTAAGTCAATTATCTACTCAATATGAGGAGAAAAATTGATTTTTATTAGCTATCTATTACTTTTCTGATCAGTGTCAGTAAAGTTTCCTGTTGGGACTTCTGGTTCCACCAAGGTGTAGTCACTCCATTCCTTCTAAGTTTCCTGTGTATCAGAATGGCTGAAATAAAAAATAGTGATCACACCAAATGATGTAGAGAAACTGGACCACTCACACATTGCTGGTGGGACTGTAAAATGGCACAGCTACACTGGAAAACAGTTTGGCAGTTTCTTATAAGACTAAACATGCAGTTACCATACAGCTTAGCAGTTGCACCCTTAGACATTTATCCTAGAGAATGAAAATTACATTCGCGTAAGATCATGTGCACAGCGTTCATAGCGGCTTCTTTCGTAGTAGCCCCAGACTGAGAACAATGCAGATGTCCTTCAAGGGGTGACTGGTTAAACAAGCTGTGGTCTGTCCACAGTAATAAAAAGAACGTAACTGTTGATACACACCTGGTGAATGTCCAGGGAATTTAGCTAAGCACAGAAAGCCAGTCCTAAAAGGTGACATAGGTGATTACATGTATATATTATTCTTTAATTGACAAGGTTGTAGAAGTGCAAAACTGATTAGTGGTTGCCAGGGATTAGGAAATGAGGCGGGGCGGCGGCTGTGTTTTGCTTTAAAAAGGCAACATGGGATATACTCTCGGTGATGGAGTTCTTTCTCTCTCTCTCTCTCTCTCTCTCTCTGACAGTACCGGTATCAACATTCTGGCTGTGATGCTGTACTGTAGTTCTGCAGAATGTTACCATTGGAGGAACTGGGTGAGGCTTACAGGGCTGCTTCTATTTCTGACAAATGTGTATGAGGCAGCTGTTACCTCACAATAACAAGTTTAAGTAAGTAAAAAGTTTCCTTAAGTGTTTTAAACAAATTGCTGCTATCAGGGCTCCTAATGTGGCAGAGGAAGCACACAGTAGCATTCCTATCATAGATAAGTAGTGGCTTTGCAGTTTGTTTTATGCTTTTTTTTTTCCTATGGCTTGGTCAAATAGTCTATAAGTTACAGCTTTATAATTATTTCAGGGTCATTTTTTGAGTTTTCATTTGTGCTCCAGTCATTTTCCTTGTCTATTTTAATTTAATCAGTTCTAATTACTACTTTTGCTTCTTGTCATTTGGCTTTAATTCAAAGAATCTTAGCAAGGTTGTGCATAGGCCTTTAGTCAGGAAGATTTGAAATAAGACATTGCTTTTATTATCTGAATTTTGTGTTATTTGTGACTTTGGAAAAGTAACGTGCATAAAACCTCATTTTGATAAATAACCACATTAAATGACCATTTTTGTATATTTTTCTTTAACAGAACCTACTACATCTAAAAGTACCAGTGGGATTACAGCTGTAACACGGAGTTCCAGTGGAAGTGATCTGTCAGATGAAGATAAAAATTTTAAACCACAGAGAGATAGCAGACATGGTTCTAGAATAGACAGATTTTATAACGGGAATATTTCATGTCCACAGGATGGGACCAGTAAAATAAATTGATAATTTTGTAAGAAATTTAGTTTCTGTTATAGATTGAATTTCAATATTGGGAAAAGCTTATACTCCTTTTCTAACACTTAGCATTGATTATGATTGTACTAGGTCCCAGCATCCCAGCCCTTTAGAAGTATTTTCTCATAATAATTCTCACAGTAACTCTAAGAGAGAGGTATTACCAGTATTATTTTTACAGTTAGTAGTTTAAGCTTGAACATGTTAGAACTGGTTGGATTCCACTTTGGGTCTCTTTGGTGACAAAGCCAGTTCTCTAAAGTACAGGCACACCTCTGAGATATTGTGGGTTTTGTTCAGACCACTGTAGTGAAGTGAATGTTGCAGTAAAAGAAGTTACATGAATTTCTTGGTGTTCCAGTGCATATTAATGTTGTTTATATACAGCTGTAGTCTATTAAGTGTGCCACAGCATTATGTCTACAAAAGTCAAAGTGCCATACCTTAATTAAAAAATGGCTTATTGCTGAAAAATGCTAACCATCATTTGAGCCTTCAGCGAGTTGTAGCTTTTTGTTGGTGGAGGGTCTGTCTCAATGTTGATGGATGCTCACTGATCGGGGGGTGGTTGCTGAAGGTTGGGGTTGGTGTGGCAATTTCTTAAAATAAGGCAGCAGTGAAGTTTGCTGCATTGATTGACTCTTTGACAAATGATTTCTCTGGACCGTGCAATGCTGTGTGATAGCATTTTACCAACAGTAGAACTTCTTTCAGAGTTGGAGTCAATCCTCTCAAACCCTGCTGCTGCTTTACCAACTAACTCTATGTAATATTCTAAATCTTTTACTATCATTTCAACAGTCCTTAGAGCATCTTCACCAAGAGTAGATTCCATGTCAAGAAACCACTTTCTGGGAGAAGGGGCATTATAGCTCAGTGTGGAGTGTGTGCTTAGAATGCACTAGGCCCAGGGTTCAACCTCCAGTACCTCATTTAAAGGAAAAAAACTGAGCAAAATTATTTTAAAAAAAAAGAAGAAACCACTTCCCAACCTAGCCCTAAACTTAACCCTAACCCTCACCATAGCCTCATCCTAGCCTTATCCCTAACCCTAACCCTAACCCTTGCCCTAACGCAGGCCCTAACCCTAGCCCTATACTAGCCCTACCCTAGATCCAACCCAAGCCTTCACCTTATCCCTCAACCTAGCCCTCATCATAGCTCTAACCCTAACCCTAGCCCTAACCTTAGCCCTAGCAATAATCCTAACCCTAACCCTCGACTTAGCCCTCAGCCTAGCCCTCAGACAAGCCCTCATTGTAGCTCTAATGCTAACCCAATTGCTAACCCTAACCCTAGCCCTCACCTGAGTCTTAACCCGAGCCCTTAAGCTAGCCCTAACTAGCCCTACCCATATCCCTCACCCTAGCCGTAACCATAGCCCTCAGTTTAGCCCTCTACCTAGCTCTCATCCAAGCGCTCATTTTAGCTCTAACCCTAACCCAATCAACTAACCCTAACCCTAACCCTAGCCCTAACCCTCACCCTAGCCCAAACCCTAACCCTAACCCTAACCTTAGGTTTCAACATCTATCCTCTAGTATTTAGACAACTGCTTTGAGAGACTCAGTCCAATCAAAAACTAGCATGCACTAATGCACAACAGCTCTAACCAAAATGACCAAAAAACTTAAAGAAATTCTGATGTCCTTCTGAAACTGGGCTATGTCCATTTGAAGTGGCATAGAACATCACACTTCTAATTATACCTCTTTGACATAAAGATTATTTTTGCGCTAATTAAAGAAAACAACCAGCAGACACAGGAGAATCTCTGAAAACTACAGAAATTGCCCTTTTGGGAGGGAAATTTACATTATAAGGGAATTCTTCATTTGTCAAGTTATCTCACTCTCAGTACCAGGAACAGAAGGATAAATATTTCAAGAAACTCTTTTACCAGTGGAAAAGGCCTGGACTTAAATCTGCATAACAACCTTGTTTACTGTGATTTTGCCTGATAAATTGCCTTAACTAGCTTCCCTCTCCCCCAACATCTTTCTTTTGCTTATAGCTGAAGGTGACTTTTAAGGAGATGGTTTGGGCCATTTCTGGAATTTACTCGGTTTTCTTGGGTATCTCCAATATATACAGGCGGTATACATGTTACTAAACTTCTGATTGTTTTTCTACTGTTAATCTGCCTTTTACTACAGGTGGGATCTCAACAAGAACCTGAAAGCATAGAGGGAAAATTATTTTTCATCCCATACAAAATGCAATGCAATAATATTTAGAAGTGGAAAGAAATGAACCATTAACCTATGCAAAGACATGTAAGAATCTTACATGTATAATGCTAAGTGTGCAAAAAAAATTGTTTTCACGGAAACTGCAAACTGGAGAAGAGTTTCTTTGGGATCTTAAGAATTGCATTTGGAAGACATAGATTGAGGTTATCCTTAAGAGAGTATTCCAGATAAGAGAAAGAGGCCGGCGCTTAGAAAGACAAAAGCCAAGAGGTTGTTAAAAATTGCCTGGCAATAATTGTGATTGACTCTGACGTGAGTCAGAAAATATTTGTCCTTAAGGAATCATGGGTTGTTTTAGGGTTAGGGTCCAGTACCCTAGAAGGACAGTCACAAGTTATTCTAGGGTAAGTGTCCAAAAAGTAGATAGACTGTCATGAGTTATTTTAGGGTAAGGGTACAATAATTGGCTGTCATAAGTTTAGGCAGATGTTCCGGATGATTTCATCACGTCAAAACATCAAATTCCATTCAGGCCGAGATAGAAGTCACACTTTCTTAATGGCCTCCCAGCTCCATTTTAAAGAGCTCTCTTATCAATACCAATTCCATTTTGATTTTCCTTTCACAAGTAAAAGAACCCAGTCTGAAGAGGCTGCATACACACTGTATGACCCCATTTATATGACAATCTGGAAAAGGCAAACTAAGAGATGGTAAACAGATCATGTGAGAGTTTAGATGTATTCTGTATCATATTTTGTGATGAGCATTGCCACTATGCAATTGTCTAAACCTAGAGATTTTTATGGCCCAACTAGTCAATTGAAACCTATTCCACACTAGTAATCAAGGAAGTGGGAGTGTCACGGGGTAGAATACAGAATGTGACAAAGAATCTAACTTTTAGAAATGCATGAATGAAAACTCACTGTTGGAAGTGGTGCAAACTGTGCTGGACTCAGTAACATTGAAACTGAACAGACTGCATAGACTAAATGCAAAATGTACTGTACATAAACAGTGGACCCTGTTTTATCAAGTTCTTTTCTAGCAGGATATGACCTAAGAATATTGAAACCATTTTGTCTGTGATCTGAAATAGAACAAGCAATGAATTAAATGAATGGAAGGGGGTGGGAACCAGGTTACCTGCTGTCTGAGTGGGAGTTACAGGTAAGCAAGTGGCACAAGAAGTACAATCTCCATGTGAGGATGGATCACGTTGGAGACATTAGTATAAACTCATCTTTAGTTTAATATGAATAAAGACAGTTCCACATAGAAATTTTTATAATTAGATTTGTGTACTGGTGCGGAGGGGGAAGTTTCTCCCTCTTGAGTTCTTGTGGCTGGACTACTAAGAAAATCGATGCAAGACAGTTCAACAGGAGAAAAAGAAACACATTTAGTTCCTGCACACAGAGGTCTCACAGAAATGGGTCCAAGAAGTAGCCCAGGCAGGCAGCTTTCATAATTTTTTTTAATGGAGATATTGAGGATCGAACCCAGGACCTTGTGCTTGGTGAGCACATAGTGTACCACTAGGGGTGTACCCCACCCCTAGTTTTTATTCTTTTAGACAAACTATAAATTTGAGGAATTGACAGACCAAAGAAATGTAGGTTTCGGTGCTCAATTAGTGAAAAATCAAAATAGAGTTTGAGCTTGGGGTAGTAAATTAAAGAAGTAACAAGGTTTGTTTATATAGACTTCTGTACCTTTCATATAGATTTATTTCCTGCTTTCAGGGAGATAGGAGGGTGAGAGTGTTCCTCTTGCATCAACCACTGATTAATTTTAATTCACAACAAACACCATGTCATTGTGGCATATTTTGGCGGGGCCCACGCTGAGTGACAATAATACAGGTGGGAATGTTAGACCTCAAAATTAGGAGGTACACTGAAGTGTGGGTCCTTGCCACCAGCTGTGAAAGAATTCATGCAGCAGAGGCAGAAGGACGAAGTGAACAGCCACTTTATCACTCAGAAGGGGAGATGGAGGGAAAGTGCTCGAGCAGAGAGAAGGAAAGAAAAGCACTCATGAGGAAGAGTTGCTCAAGTGAGGCAGGAAGGAAGGGGCAGAGCACAGCCATTCAAGGGATGACAGCAATTAACACCAAAATGGTGGATGATTCAACTCCCATTAGATCTTAAGGCTCAAGATGGCGGGAGATTTGACTTCTAGTAGATCTTGAGCTTCACTGTATGCTCATTGCAATATATTAACATGGTAAATGACACTCCCACAGGTGCCAGGACAGTTCTGAGGCTGACCATAAAAGGTCAGAGAGTGGGCAGTGGCTCAGTTCCTGAGAATCCCAGCCCCTTCCCCAGGGTAGTTGGAATGGCCCTCCCACTTGTTGGCATGTGAAGCTATTGAGCCCATAAAAACTGGCAACACCGTGCCTCGTGGCCTCTCTCGCTCCCTCATCTTTGGAGATGGCCCACACTCTGTCTATGGAGTGTGTATCTACTTTTACTTTAACCTGAGCACTCAACCCCCACACCTCGTGGTCTGTCTCTCACCTTCTGAAACAGCCTACACTCAATGTAGTATGTAATCTCTCTAAATAAATCTATCTTTACTCAACTGTGGCTCGCTCTTAAATTCTTTCCTGCACAAAGCCAAGGACCCGCCCTTGGTGGGGCACATCCCAGGGACTCAACTGAGACCTGGGACGTGGCCCTCTTGCCCCATATTCGTTTTTCCTGTGTCAGGGCCGTAAGTTGGACAGAGGCCGATGGATGCAGACCTGGACCAGCAATGGCCCCTGGCCAGCATGTGGGTGGGGCTGGTGTTTGCTCTCACCTCCACTTTTCCATCTTTGGCTTTAGTACCCTTAAACTCTTGAGTCTTCACGGCCTCCACGCTTGTCCCCTCTAGAGAATACTTCTCGTCCCAGCGGTCACTCCTTTTTTCCTCCTACCCAGCGGATGTTTCTCTGCCACCTGGTCAGAGGCACTTGTCAGGGGGAAAGCAAGCAGACATTACGTCTAACAGAGTGTGACTGCTGGGCCCTCTGGGAAGTCACTGTGACAGGCGCATGGAAGTCACCTTTCAGGCAGGTAATCCTTCAGGACCCTCAGATCAAACCCTTTCTGTGACTGTTTCCTTTGCTCCATGAAGCCACTCAGGTGTATCATGAAGCAGCACAGAGCACAGCCTTTAGTGAAATGGAAGAATCAGAAGACACTCAGGGAACGACTGGCCTCGTGACTTGCATGCGTCTTGGTCAACTTGAGTAGAGGCGTAGAGTTAAAGCCCTTTTTCTACACTAAAGGCAAACTCCCTGTGAGAGAGTCATTTTCTTTACTAATTTAAACAGGAAAGTCCCATGGGGTCGGGCTCATTTTGCTGTATCTCAGTTGCAGAAGGGACTGACTTCCCAGCCTAGCTGCCTCTGGTGATGTGAGCAGCCATGCACTCGGCCCCAGCTCCTGCAGGCTCACGTCCTGCGCTGAGCTCCACTGCTGCCCCTCCACCGCAAAGGCTGGAGGCCAGTCCCACCTCTCTGATGGGCTTTGAAGTTTCTGAAGGAGGTTCACAAAATCTCTTCTGCCCTTGCCTTTGCCTGGACTCCCAGCTTTCCTCCCACATCACCTTCTGATCGGATCTGTGCTCTGCCACTTCCTTAAAGGAACGTCCTCAAGCACCTGCCCTCCGCGCCCACTCCCCTGTAGCTCTGATGGGCCTTTCCTTATCTTTCCTACTTACCATGTCCTTATTAGTCACAGCAACATTTCAGTATGGGAGTGTTTTGTTTTCACAGGCTGTACAAACAACGCTTAATCTTTCCAACATTCCCTGTAGATTTCCAAGTACAACCCCTACAGGTTGCAAGTATGATAATTACTGTTTTCACTTTGACCTGGAGTTTATTACAAAATATTCTGGACAACAAATGCTGTTAAACTTTACATGTACTTGGTATTTCATTTTGGTGAGGGCTTTTTAAAACTATATAATAGCAACAATAAAATAAAATTATCCAGACCATCTGCCTCCACCCATGAAAGAAATTCCTACTCTGGAAATTATCTTCCTGCCATAAAACCTAGACAACAAAGAAAATAAATGAAAGGCTATTTTTAGAGACTGAACAGCAGGCAGTGTGTGAAAGGAGTCCCTGAGAGAAGAGACAAGATAAGTTCTACAATTGCTCAGCTTACCTCCTGGAGGTGCATCCAGGCTGCAGCACAGGGAAGGGAGCCTGCGCGAACACAGAGGCCTGGCTGAGCAGGAAGAGATTACAGTCTAGGGATGCCGAGGCAGCTGGGCTCTGGGCAGAGAACCTAGATGAAAGGGCCTGCAGAGAAGGAGTGATTCTGAGATCTGCAGAAGCCCTGCTGTGTCTGGCAGACCTAAGTGCTGTGTGTATAGAATGAAATTCCATATGGCATATGAAGAACCACCAGAAGGCAGTAGATGGACACAACTGCCAGAACTCACTCAGGCAGATGGAGGGACCTCATAGGACCCAGGACACGGGACCAAGTCCTAACACCTTAGTAATGGGGTTAAAGTAACCCTACAGTAAAGGCTGCATTACACCCACCTAAATAAACCTTTAAAACCAATCCAAAAAATAAACAACCCAGTCCAAAAATGGGCAGAAGAGCTAAACAAGCAATTCTCCAGTGCAGCAGGTAGATTTGAGTTTGATAGGCAGAAGCTGAAAACTGATCACAGACTATCCAGGATGCTTAAAGTTGGGGGTGGATCTGTAACTGAGCAAGGACTCGTGTGCCTTCTGTGCAGAAAGCCAAACACACAGCAGATGTTGGCAGCAAAATAAGGGTATATTTGCAGGCGCCAAGGAGGGAGTGGGACACAAGCCTCAGAGTCATTCCAGCCTGGTCTTTGATTTGGGGGTGTTTTAAAGAGGAGAACAAAGAGGCTGGGATTAATCATTGTCCTGTGACATTTCTACATTTCTTAATCATGGTTTTGGGACGACTCTGGTGGCTCGTGGCCCAGGGCCTGTTAGCTCATCATGCTCTACAGAAACCTGACCTTGTCTGTTAAGGATGGAGCGACTGCTGAGTCGTCAGATTCTGGTTGGTTTGTGTTCAATTAGCACAAGATTGAGGTCAGAGGGGACAAGTAAGGAAACAAAATTATAGGTAAAGAGATTAATCATAAATGCAGTAAGGAAACTAGGTTTTAGGGGGACTCAGTTTCAAAAATAAGGCTGTTACCTGGGACCCCGCAAATCCTGAATTTCACGGGACAGACTTCCTCTCTGGCTGTTGTGGCCCCATCTCCACCCTGCCCCACAGGGCAAGGAGGCTGCAGAGGAGCCAGAACTGGGCCCCAGGGAAGCTCTTCTGGAGTCCCACCTCTGGGGCTCGCAGAACCTGCCAAGTGCTCTGAGAGGCCTGTTCCTGATGAGACTGGCCCTGGCTCAGCAGCCCTGCCAGGCGTTAGGTCACACGGAGCCTCCCCGCTTGGGTCAGGCTCAGAGCAGAGCTGGGACTGGCCCCTCCAGGCCCGGGTCTCACAGGAGCAGCTCTGCTGTCGGCTGTGGCTGATGAACCAGAGGACTGCGTCTCCAGCTGGGTCTCCATCAGGTCCCCATGTTTACACTGAAACCACCATCATTATGTGTCGTTCAAGGGACATTTTTCTCCCAATCAAGCGCTGACTCTGGCTGGGTCGGTTGCTGGAAAGTCGGTCTGTTTTTCTTTAAACACATCTGCTGGGCTTCTGGCAGAGCTGTTGTAAACACTTCCCATCACTCCTGCTCCGTTTTAGCCCCGAGTTTTGCTAGGAAGGACCCCAGGCCTTTGCTTTGCCCTCTCAGCAGGGCATGAACATTGTAAAACCACCAAGACCAGGTGCTGCCTGCCCTGGAGGTGACGCTTCTGGTATGAGAGGAGACTGAAGCCAAGGCTGGCCTGGGATGGGGACGAGAAGGCACTGCTCAGGGCTGCTCAGGGCTGCTGCGTGTGCAAGAAGGAAGGAGGTGGCTGAGGGAGGAGCAGGGCAGGAGCCTGGCAAAGCCTCCACGGTGGTTCTGGGCGCAGCGACCGTGCGGCCTTGCTGATGGTGAGCAGCAGAGGGCGGGAGGCGGGCCTGGCTTCACAGGGGCTTAGCCTCTCGCTCGCTGTGGGACCCTGAGCAGGTCGCTAGGCCTCCAGTGACCCTGAGGCTCCTCTGTCACTGAGCTGGGATCATACTCAGACTCAGTGAGTGTCACCGGCAGCATGTTTCCTTTCCGTTATTAGACTAGTAACTCCTGCAGGATGGGAACCAGATGGCCTTTATCTTTGAACCCTGACATGAACCCAGTACATATTAGGAAATGTTATAAATGCTGGCTAAATTGGATGAAAGTCTGGGTAAGGGACAGAAAGTACAGATACTAATTTTGGGATTTCAGCTATCACTTTTTCTTGGAAAAACATTCTATTGTTGTTCAGAGACACTTGGCTGTGGAATAGCTCTTACAAAGAGCAGTTTTTGTGAGTTAAGTGTAGATGACCCAACCCACATGGATCGTATTTCCCTGTAAGTCCTTGAATGTACTTTAGAAACAGAGCAGAGATGGGGGAGGGGGAAAGACAGCACTTTTGGAAGGAAGGAATTTGAGTTTACTGAACCAGAGTGTAGGAGAGGAAAAAGGCGATTTCGCCGGGTCCAAGGTGTAGCTGGATTTTGCAACTACTAATGAGAAGCAGGTACTGAAAATACACTACAGCTCGTTAAAAATCTCTCCAAGAATGACCTCCTGCAGACCTTTTCCCCTTCCGTGCCTACTGACCCCAGATGCTAGCACTGTAAGATAAAGACGTACAAGTTCAATTTAAGTTCTAACCTGTTGTTTTGTCCTAAATCGATTTGAAAAGAAACGTTAGAGACATCTGGACGAAGGCACCTGGGCAGGGACACCTGGACAGATGTCTGTGGAAGGCGGAGCTGCACCACGTGGCAGGCCTGCCCTCCCTCGGGCTCCATGGCGTCTCTCACTATCAATGCTGTTCCCAACTGCCCACCAGATTGTGGACGGGGTGGTAACAGATTCCTACAAAATGCTGGTCAGGAAAGGAAGCTATGGACACAGTGTGGAGTAAGAGGAAGCCACTTCATGTTCACTGTAAAGGAGGAATGGGGGCCCACCAAGATGTCTTCAGCTCGGAGGAGCCTGGCCCAGGGAACTGGAGGTTGTGCTGCTGACGGGTACAGGTTCCCAGGGCCCACGGGAGCCCATCCTCCAGAGTCTGCTCAGAGCAGGATGGGAGGCCACCTGAGGGCCAGGGCGGCCTACAAGGAACTGGGCTGAGTCCACGTGGCAGCTGGGCCCCGAACTGGCTACTCCTGTTTGTCTGACCCCAGGGCTCCACGGGTTTCAGGAGAAACTTTCCTGCAACTCCACCTCTGCACTACAGTCCCAGCAGGGGTGGCCAGGCTGCCGATTCGGAGCAGCTTCCCAGGGGCCACCATCTCCTTCTTCACACCATTACCTCCCACCCAGGCTCCAGACATTGTGTTCTGGTCCTGTCATCTGTAAAAACAAACATCCCTTGACCTAAGTGACTTGGGCAAACAGTGTTGTGATGGATGCTGTGAGGTACAGACTCTGTAATGTAGGCGGTCAGTCCGGAGTTGAACAATCAAAGAATGCATCACAGACAGTGGGAGCCAGGTTTCTCGTTGTTGGGAAAAGAAGTGACAAATGAGGCTGGAAGGAACCATGCGCTGACCCCAGAAGCATTAGCGTGACCTCGTGATGTTTGAAAAACATGTATAAGGTGGACAGTTGCAGAAATAAACACGGACATGTGTTCACGGGCGCTTCCCAGTCCTGCTGACTGAGAAGGTCGCCATCCTCCCGACACTGACTGCCCTACCCCCAGACACTGTTCTCCAAGGAAAGGAGCCAAGGCTCTTGGGGAAGGGAGTGACTCTTAGGATGGGGGGAGGAAAATACAGGATAAGCCTAAATATCTTGTGCCGCTGGCGCGTGTGGCTGCTGCTCTCAGGGCTGTCCTGCCAGCCTATGACCCCAGGACAGCCCCCCAGGGGCTGGCCACTCCCTCAGCTGCCCCCTCCCCGCCCCCCGTTGCAGCCTGAGCAGAGCGCGCTGCACCCACGAGGGCTCTGTGAGACTCAAACACACGCTTGTTTCTGAGGGCGTGGGAAACACACCTCGTGGATCGCTTGTGGGCAGGTAGCTGGTGTGTGTGTGGCCCTCAAAGGCAATTTGGCAACAACCGCAGAAATTTGAAATACACACATCCTAAGACCCAGGTACTCTGTTCAGTAATGAGTCTGTAGTTTCGCTGGTACAAGAACAAAACTGTGTTTTAAAGCCCATCCGTGGTAACACTGTCCCACAAGCTCACCAGTGGTTACCTGGTTAAGTGAGTGGTGTGCCCCCTGCTGTTAAACAGACACGGCAGGACTACGTGTCCTGACACAGAAATGCTGCAGGGCGTCTCAGTGACAGAGCAACATGCAGAGTCGTGAGGACAGCGCAGGGCCATTTGTGGAAGAATCTCTGTTCAGCGAAGTCCATAAACATCATCTGTTTCTCGAGGGCTCCCAAGAAGCCCAGCAGTGGTTGCCTTGAGCTGATTAGATGGAAGGATAAGCCGAGGAGAGAGGAAAACATGCTTTTCCCTTTTGTAACTTAACAGTTCTGTTCAGGTGCCTATTTACCTATTATGGAGGATACAATATTAAAATTATGTATAATTTTGCTCTAATAAACTTGGGGAAGTCAAAATGTTATTGAATTTTAACCCACTGTGGGCCTGTCACTTCTCAAGAGACACAAGAGAAGAACAAGAAGTGGTCTCTACTCAGGGTGAAAATGGAAAATGTGACCCCCAGCAATGGTCCCCCAGGGGTCAGGCATGCGGAAAGGAGCCAGAGGGCCCTGGGGGTGCCCGGCCGTATCAGCAGGATGCTGGCTAGCTGGGAGTTCTGCCCGGGAAGCCATGCGTCTATTGCTCAATACGCCAGCATTTTGGGAGGATGGTCACTGACTAAAGGGCTGGAGGCCAGCAGCTTAACAGGAATACAGAAGTGACCAGGTCCATGTCTGGAAGCAATGTTTATTCTGTCAGGTCATGCTGGGCCACTCCCAGCTCACTGCACAGCAGCTGGGACACAGCGGAGGGGGGGCGGCCTTGACTCAGGGTGCATGAGTC